ATTTTGTGTAAATATAAGAACTCTGAAAACTTTATCGAGTTAGTAATCAAAACATTTCAACCTTTATGAGACATATGTGATGAAAGGTAAAAACTATGATTATAGAAAATTATATCTCATACTTTCTCTTAATAACTAAAATGCATATTTTAATTTAAGATATCTTGAGCCAATACTTCATATCTAAATCAATGAGTTTAACATAAAGACTCCTAGCCTAATGATATAATACATATCAAGTCCACAGCTTCTAAGGTGTGTCCAAGCTTGTATGAATGTCTTCATTCTTCTTAAGCTCTTCTTGAATCATCCTTCTTTTTATCTTTATGTTCTTCAATTATGAGTGTAGCATGCAAATGAAGACTTCAAATTTGTTCCTCTTCATACTTACTCTCATCTTCATTTTAGACAATCTTAAATGATATATTATGAATAAAATGGTTAGTCCAAGTATCAATATGCATATATCCAAGTTGTGAAGGGTAATATTATGAACATTCTTGGATATATAATCAATTTAAGATAAAAAAAATATGATAGCTTTGATGCATTCAAATCATTTTTTCAAATCTAATGTAATAAGAAACAACATAAAAAGCAAACACTTTAAAGCATTTGTTCCATAATCATAATTAACTACTCTATATATAAAAACAATTAGGCATAAGTATAGTTAACTCATCTATATTTGTCATTATCAAAACCTAAGCTAAGCATAATGTCACAAGCCATTATGTCCAACAATCTCCCCATTTTTGATGATGACAAATCACCTATGAAAAAACATGCTTATGTGATAGAAAATAAATATTTAGCAAATCATATTTTTCGTGATTACTTCTCCCCTTATTTATAACAAAAAGGCTTTGAAGTAAATGCAAAGGAATACAAGAAAAAGATAAGGTTTAGAGTTCTCCCTTGAATATAACTTCTCCTCCTATTTGTCGTGTAGAGAAATTTCAAATCTGAATTTGACTTCTCCCTTATATGATTACATCAAGTTCACTTTGTTTCAAAATTTTCTCCCTTCATTAGAGATATATGATCATGAGGCTTCTTGATGTTCTTGATTTGAGAAGTCCTTCTCAAAGATGATTCCTCCCTTTTAATAACACCATTTTGTGATAAGCTAATAAAGTACTTGGTGCACTAGCTTAGTTATTCTCTATGAATGAATTGAATACTAATAGATTACAAGAAGAATTCAATTAGCAAATATAGTATCATGATAGAAATATATCTTGATATGCTTATGACACATAGATATCAAATATGAATGTGCAAACCATTCAGTGAGCCAAAACTCACATGTGACCTCTTGTCCTCATGCATGATTTAGCTAGCAGAATGCTAAAGCCAAATTTATATGACATATCTTGCATGTTATACATTCTCATACATGAATTGGATGGCCGAAAGCCAAGAATAATTCAATGTGATTGATCATGTGTAGAACCAACATGCTCTCATACATGGTTTGGCTAACAGAATGCCAAAGCCAATATTATGTAACAAATATCACATGGAAGAAACAAACTATCATGCATTGAATGATTTGCTTTAAACCCAAACCATTTGGGAAGACAAATCATGCGTGGAACACTGCATTACTCATGTGTGAAATGGCAAGTTGCAAAACTTAAGCCATTTTTTAAGTCATATAACACGTGGAATCGAAATATATTCAAGCAAGGAACGCATGATCAATATATGAAGTGTCAAAACACACCAAATGTTAATTATACAAGATGGTTATGAGTAAAAACATCTTGATGCATATTACCAAAATATTGAAATCTAAAGTTAAAATAGCATCAAATGTGAGAATAATTTGACTTTATCAAAATTTTCATTTGGCTTAAAATATAAGACAATGAGTGGAAAACCAAATGTTATGCTTTATGAAATATGGTGCTCAAAAGATGTTTTTTAAAAGTAAATAGAGCTCATAACAATGCATGAATATGTTAAAGATAGTTTTCATCACCAGAACTTGTCAATCATGCAATACTCCTCCTTACTAAATGCATATAATTCAAATTTTAAAAGGTAAGGGTTTAGAAATGCTCATTTGAAGGCTTGGCAAGTTGATGTAGATTCCATTGCAAATTCTTTGTAAGAGATTTATCAATAATGATTTTCAAAAGATATGTTATGAAAAATTCATTTCAAAATAGTGTGCAATGTTCATTCCCAAGCTCACAATATATAAACCTTAATAATTATCATAAGTGATAGTTTTGGAGGTTTTACCAATGTTATACCTTGAACTTTGTGCTTAAAGGTTTGCATTTGTTCACCAAATGTATAGAATGGTTACGCTTTGTGTAAGTTTTCTTGGGTGCATGTTATCCTCTCTCATAAGTTGTAGACTTCACAAGTCATCTTTTTGGCACTTTAAAAGTCCTTCTTCTTTTGTTTTCCTCAAGGTAATTGAATGGCACTTTATGGTAGTCCATCATTGAGATGTGAGGTGCTCTTCTCTTATGTCCATTGCTTCTTTTTGCAACAAAACTTTATAATTCTAGCAATGGATGATCTGAGAGTTTTCTTGGCTTTGGTTGACTTCAAAAGTCTTGGTTTGTGCTCATAAGAAGCTCTCATGGTGGCTTCCTCCTGTCTTACACCAATCTGTCCATTTTTATTATTTTGCACAAATGTAGAACTAAAAGGATATTTCAGTACCCATTTAGCTTTAGGTCTTTAAGAGTTAGCATTAGACCTTCCTTTTCCTTTAGGAATCCAAACAAATTTGTTTCTTATATTTGAATTTCTCCTAATGTAGCATGTGTCAAAAACATGTCCAAATTTACCACAATAATTGCAAATAATAGAATGATGTGCATTTTAAAAACTTTTGCAATTTATGTGTTTGTTGCTTAAGCCATTTCTGAAATAATTCCTTTTTCTAAATTCTCTCTTCTTAAAAGTATTTCTTGTAATTCTAGCAAAATTAGAATCCAAATCTCTTGAATTTTTCAAAATCGAATTAGTTATAGGTTTGAAAATTACTTTATGAAAATTTTCAAAATCATGTGACTTGCATGCACAAAAAAGATTGGAATGATATACCTCAGAAATTTCTTCAACTTCAAATAGTAACATAATCAGGTCTATCATGTGAAGCTCTTAGGGATCATCTTTCTCTTGTCCAAGTGTATTGACTGAACCATGTAAGTGTTCAATGATTTCTCTTTCTTTAATATCATCTTCCATGCATTCTCCAAAATTTAGTAGACATTGGTCCTCTTATTGTTCAAGCTCTGGAGAATTGCCAATACTTTCATTTTCAAAAAGATCATTAGTAGCATGGATGGATTCAAGAGTATCCCAAATAATTTTAGCATTAAAGCAATAATTAATTTTGCAAAATTAGTTTCAGTTAAAGCACTATATAAAATCTTCATAGCTCTAACGTTAAAAAAAATAATTTCTTTTCTTTCTCAATCTAATCTCTTGTAGGTTTGAAATCAAAATCATTTATGAAAACTTTTCACATATCTAAATCAATGGACTAAATATAAAGTTGCATTTTCACTTTCCAAAACCAAAATTGGTATTTTCAAGAGCTGAAAGTTTTTCAATGTCAATTCCATCATAAATTACAAAACTTTGAAAACTTGGCATTTTGAACTCTTGAGATTGTTAAGTCCTTTATCCAAGAGCTTAGCTTTAATACCAAATGTTAGATATGGCAAAACACTCGAGAGGGGGCTGAATTGAGTATTTGAGAAAATTTTGATTCTCTTAAATCTTTTTAGCAAAAATGTGTTCAAAGGAGGTTTAAACAAAATTGAGTTTTAAATTTTGTGTGCAAGAAAGCTAATGTTATTTTTCACAAGTTCAATATGTGTAAAAAATAATTTCTAAGTGAAAGTTTGAGTAGAGCAAGTAGATATATTAAACTCAATTTCATAAACAAAAATATAGCATTAACTAAAGTTGCTAGAAATATAAAGAGTTAAGGGAAGAAAGATTGCAAACAATGATTTATTTTAGTTTAGCTCCTCCTCTTGAGCCTTCATCTAGTCTCCAAGCAACTACTTGATATTTTGTCACAACAACACAAGCTTGAGTGGGTGCTTGTCATCTTAGTACATCCATAAGTTCAGTTTACACTAATGCAAAAATCATTTTTTACCACAGTTAAAATGCATTTTTGGTGACGGAAGATGTTGTATAGTAGAAAATCATGTGGTAGTAAATAGATATTTTTTACCACAGGTAAAAAAAAAACTGTGGCAAAATATAATATTTTTCGCCACAGGTGCCATCTGACTTGTGGCGAAAAATATGGTAGTAAAAAATATAATTTTTTGCCATAGGTATTCTTAGACCTGTGTGAAAAACATAGTGGCGAAAAATATAGTTTTTCACCACAGGTGGTCTCGGACCTGTGGCGAAAGATCTCATCTTTCGCCACATCTTTCGCCATAGGTTTGAGACCACCTAGATCTTTCGCCACAGGTCCGAGACCACCTGTGGCGAAAAAATTATTCTAGAGCTCATTTATGGCCACAGTTCTATCAACAACTGTGGCCATAAATGGCTTTTTACCACAGTTAGTGTAACAACTGTGGCCGTAAATATAATATTTTTTTTTACTCATACACTTATATCTATATACATTCCCTTACTTACAAAACCTGCATTAATTAAGAAACAGCAGCTCTAAAGACCAATACAAATATGTCTGGTATATGAACTAAACTTACATTTCCAATACAAAATATCTAGAAAGTTTCTACTCTAATCCTGTTAATTCTAAGAAAAAACTAGACCACAAATTGCGTATATATCTCAACTCTTGCTTAGAATATGGCTTTAAACTTTGGAATTGCTACAAATTCAATAACAATATATGTATGAATAATAACTCAAGTATATAGAAAACTTCATAATTATAAATCATTATTTATAAATTATTACCTAATCAAATGAGTGATGATTTCATACATAAAAATCATCATATAATAACCACATTCTACACTTCCTGGTTGTTGAGGACACTATAAAGAAAATAGAAATAATTAAATTCATTAAACCAATATTATAATCTTCATTCTAATTAAGGAATAAATTTAAAATACTTACTTGCATTGGTAAAACTTGATTTCATTTTTTTTTCTTGTGAACCATTCTTGCTAATTTCCAATATGTCGCTAAAGATCTATTTATCAAATATACACACTTAGAAAATATTAAATATATATTATTAATAATATAATGGAATTATTTAAAAACTTACAATTCAATCAAAGACTTCATGTCGTCGCTTACTTTCCTTTTCAGTGAACAAAACCAGTATATAGTATTTTCATACGGGCAAATGACAGGAAGCATCCAATGATGACTACAATATATTAATTTATATTAATATCACATTATTAAGCAAATATTTTTATAAATTGAACGACGAATTTAAAATTTGATACCTCTCAATAATTGGTAAAAACCAGCATGTCTTCTTTTGCTTGCACATCATCTTTTCAATATAAGAAGCTCTTTGATTCACTTTGTCAATGGAGGTTAAAAGTAGAGATAAGAACCCATAATTCTCATCGACACCGAGTTTAGTGCATATCTTGTGAAGGTACCTTTGATAATTAGACATATGTTAGTAATAAAATAAAAATATCAAATATTAATTTAGAAATAAAAAAGAATACTTACGTGATAAAAACTTGAATTATTGACAAGTCCAATCACTCAAAAATAATGCGGTCACTAATATCTTTTTTGGCAACTCTAAAAGTAATAGGCTTCCCAATAATCTTTTCGATCACGTTAATTTCATCAAAAAATTCATTCATGTCAACCACCACTGAAACCAATCATTTCAAATCATCTTGCATCGGTTGGGAATTAGAACCCAAAGATTCTTTTTATTGTAAGAGTTCCTATAATTAACATATAATAAAAATTAGAAATACCTATGTTATTAATTAAAAAATTATAACATTTTCATACCTCTTCAGCAACTTGTCAAACTAGCTTTTTCAACCAAATAATGAAATTATGTTGAGCTTGTCCTATTGTTTCCACCTCCTCAGTAGGAAATAGTATAAGAGTATTAGCATCCATAACCTCTTCAACCATAACCTTTACTTGGTTATGTTGTATCTGTTGATGGTGGACTGTAGTTGCATGGTTATACACCTTTCCATATGCAACTACTCATTTGCCATGATCCTTCACATAAAGTATGCATGGCATTCCTTGATCTGATAAACTAAGATCACATACTGGCTCTGTAGCACCACCATAATTTGATGTTTGTTGTGGTTTCATTTGCAAATTACTAATCATTGATTGCATTTTCATCATCATGCTTGACTTGCATTCTGCTATCATCATTTGCACTTGCTAGATTGGTACAAGATTAGAAGATAAAGGTCTAAAATATTATCTTATACCCATACCTTTAGGAACCCCCCTAACACGACCGGAGTGCTCTTCACCCCCTAAGGCCGTGGTCAATATGTCCTTTTTACCAGTAGACACAAAGGTCCCTTCGGATGATGCTTCTATAAGAGCATCCTGGAACATGCAAGCAAGTAGAAATTAGTGTAAATAATAAATTTCAATTATATGATTAAAATATTGACTGTAAAAATACTTACAATTTTCTCAGCTACTTCTCTAGCCTCCGAGGAAATAAACTCTCCCTTTTTATTCATCCGTCCTCTCTTCCATGCTTGAGCACGATTAACAGGAGATGGAGGAGAAACTTCTTCAATATTATCAACTCCCGTCACTTGTCTTTTAGCTTCCCACTTCTCTTAATTCATTAAATCATAAATATATGCATACCCTCCTCGAGACATAGCATGGTTGTATAGATTTTTCTTTCGACACTCTTGACCTTTTTGACTTTTTTCCTATTAATAAATAATGAAAAGAATTTGTTCAAAATAAATCTTCACTAACATTAAATAAATTGTCATATTCTTCCTTTACTTACCAAAAACTTAGGATCGTGTCTACTGTGAACAAATTTTATCCACGTGTCATAATTAATAAATGGATATTTCTCCCAAGGTTTTTCTATATTGGCATCATTGTCACTATCATCATTTTCATTGCCATTCTTAGGAAAGACATACTTTCTAGTAAGCTTGGATTTAAAGTCCCTCCATCAGTCCCCAGCATACTTAACCACTTGTCTTTTTAAAATGGAGTTTCCTTGATGTCATAAGTAATCTACAAAATAAACATATCAATAATGAATTTAATAACAACATATATTTAAAAAAATAGATATAACGTATAGTAATAGGAAATACCAATATAAATTCCCAAACATCATTTCTGTCACTTTCATTGACATCATCCCACTCTTCCTCGAAGATGCTGATTTTTTGACGTGCCACCAAACCCACAAAACTTTTAAATATGTTTCCTTGTTTCTTATCAATTGGTTGGCCATTATCATCAAAATCAAGATGAATTTTTCCATGAATTTGAGTTAACTTAGTAAGTCGTGTGGCCCCTCTTTTACCTCTTTTAGAATTTTTTTTGTCAGTTACTGGATTCTCCATAATTTTCCTAAAACAAATAAGATAAATAAAGTCAGTGGCAAGAAATATAATAAATTTAAATTAATGTAAAAATGAAAGTATAAAAAAATCAAATAAATCAAAAAAGTCCTATTATATTCTATTACCATTATAAAAATATTTTAGTTCTCCCATAAACCTTCGTCATGATCAGTTCTAACATCATATATGTCATCTTCATCTTCCACATCTAATAGGGGTGGGGTTGGCATAAAAGGAGGAATCTCTTCAATATCAAAACTCGTTTCATCATTCTCACCATGACTAAGGAGACTTTTTCCCAATAGAACCATAAATAACCTCTTATCAGCTGGATCAGTGACATAAAAAACTTGTTTTGCATGAGTTGCCATTATAAAAGGCTCATCCTTATGTTTTGCTTTATTAAGATCCACTAAAGTAAAACCCAACTTGTCTTCTTGAATGCCATTCTTAATATCAACCCATCTATACTTGAAAATAGGCACCTTAAATTTGAAGTAGTCAACTTTCCATATCTTTTCAATGACCCCAAAATATGATGAGGATGCCAATGTTGAATTTTTATCTTTTGCACTAAAAAAATGAGTTGCTTCAACTACTACCATTACCCCACTATTTTGCATGGTGCTATTGTCATCCTGTATTTTTGTGTAAAATGAATATCCGTTAATGTCATATGCACTTTAAGTAGTAACATCAAAGCTAGGCCCACTAGCTAACCATCTTATTGCTTCTGAAACATTAGATTTCTTATGATCCTCCTTTACCTTCGCCTTAAACCAGAGTAAAAAATGTCTATTTTGCTTACTTAGCAACTATTTATCAGCCTTTTTAGGATACTGATCTCGTAATTCCTTTTTGTGTGCATCCAAATAATCTTGCACATCATTGGTGTTATTCAAGATGTACAAGTGTGCTTGTTGCATTTCTTCATGAGTCATGCGCTTTACTTTCATGCCTCATGTCCCTTACCCTTCAACTCTCACTCCTTTATGGCGAGATTCAGGAACACCAATAGATTTGACTTCAGATAGGTATTTAGTGCAAAACTCGATAACCTCCTCAGCAACATATCTTTCAACAATAGAGGCTTCTGGATGATGGGGATTCTTTACATAGCCTTTAAGAATTTTCATGTACCGCTCAAATGGATACATCCAACGTAGATAGACAGAACCACAAAACTTTACCTCCCTCACTAAATGTACAATTAAATGTACCATGATGTCAAAAAAGGAGGGAACAAAATACATTTCTAACTAACACAAGGTAGTGACAACATCATTTTGCAACTCATCTAATTTCTCAGGATCAATTACTTTATTACAAATTATGTTGAAAAAGACACATAGTCTAATGATTAATTTTCTCACCTTTTCCTTTAAAATATCTCGAATGGCTATTGGTAACAATTGTTGCATTAGTATATGGAAATCGTGAGACTTCAAACCAACTAATTTTAAATCTTTCATTGATACAAGGTTCTTAACATTTGAAGAATATCCTTGTGGCACTTTAACACCATGTAGACACTCACAAAAAATTTTTTCTCTCTTTTAGACAAAGTATGAGGAGCTAGGCTCATGTAAGTCTTCTTTTCTTCTACTCTTGGACCCAAGTTTGTTCATATTCCCATGTCAAGTAAGTCTAGTCTTGCTTTGACTCCATCCTTAGTCTTCCTCTTTATATCTAACAGTGTTCCAATGAGACTGTCACATATAGTTTTTTCTACATGCATCACATCAATATTGTGTCTCACCTCAAGGGTGCTCCAATAAGGGAGATAAAAAAAAAATTGACCTCTTCTTCCATGGATTCTTTTGAGCTTCCTTTTTCTGCCTCTTACCGAATACCACATTAATGTCTTTGACCTATTCATAAACCAAGCTTACAGTTAATGGCTTTGGAGCTTCATCATACTCTTGATAACCATTGAATGATTTCTTCTGCCTATGATAAGGATGGTCTCGTCTCAGGAATCTTCGATGACCAAGATAGACTGTCTTCTTCCCATATTTTAGTTGTTGATGAGATGTATTTTCTTCACAAATAGGGCATGCTTTATGCCCCTTCACACTGTATCCAGACAGATTTCCATATGTAGGAAAATCATTTATTGTGCAAAAAATCATGGCTCGTAACTTGAAAGACTCATTTCGATATGAATCAAACACATCCACACCTACCTCCTACATCATCTTTAAATCTTCAATCAATGGTACTAAGTAAACATCTATATCATTTCCTGGTTGTTTAGGGCCTGAAATCATCAAAGACAGCATGATATATTTACATTTCATGCACAACCATGGAGGAAGATTATAAATCACTAACAGAACAAGCCACGAGCTATGTTGACTGCTAAGATTGCCATAAGGATTCATGCCATCTGTACATAGTCCAAGCCTGAGATTTCCAGGCTCATTGCCAAATTCAGGAAATGTTTGATCAATTCCTTTCCATTGTGGAGAATCAGCTGGAAGCCGGAGCATGCCATCAATTTTTCTCTCATCAACATGTCATCGTAAGTTCTTAGCCTCATTTAGATTAGCGAATAAGTACTTAAACCTCAGTATTATAGGAAGATACCACAATACCTTCGCTGGAGGCCTCTTAATAATGGAATCATCACTATCGTCTATTTCTTTTACTTTGTAACATGATGGCCTACAAACTGGGCACACATCCAACACTTCAAAATCATTTCTGTACAATATACAATCATTAAGGCAAGCATGTATCTTTTGGTATCCCAAACCCATTGGACATAATATTTTTTTGGCTTCATAGTAACTACTTGAAAGTGTGTTACCCTCGGGAAGCATCTCTTTCAATAATTTAAGCAACTCTATGAAACTCTTATTGCTCCACCCATATCTGGCTTTCAAGTTAAACAACTTTAGCATCGCTATCAGTCGTGTATATTTTGTACACCCTGGATAGTTTCTGAATCAGTGCACAAGCTATCATATTTGTGCACCTTTTCAACAGCTTCAATGCCAATGTCACATAACATATCCTCTATTTGATCACCAAAATCCAT